CGCCCCGTGAATTTTGAAAATACAACAGCTAAAAGCTACATATATTTCTCAGCAATGAGGTGATAACTTGGCAGTTTTTGTAATTAAACCGACAAGCTTGTTTGCAATGCTTCACAATCGCTCACTCGCACGTGGGTGCATGCGTTCGTTCGTTCTCTCTCTCTCTCTCTATCGTTCTGCTTAATTCGAATTCATTTCAATAAATATCATCTTTATTTCACTAAAGAATTCTACCTCTAACGAGCTGTAGATAAAATAGTCTAACAAATTAAAATTACCGTTATTTTCCGGTCTTTATCCGTTCAGTCAGATTTTGTGCTGCAAAACATCCATGACAGCCGTTGTCCATGCTGGCAAATAATAATGGCCATTCGACGTGAATTATATAAATAATTTTAAAAGCACGGCCATTCCCGAGGGTCTACCATGTGCATAGTAAAGCGATCACTGCAGACAATCCTTTTGGGTGGGAATTAATGTAAACACAGATATCGGATACCAGTCGTGTCTAAAGTGAATGTAAACAGACGTGCCAAAAAATCGGATATGGTCAAAAGTCTAATTGGTCTAACTGAGTAGCCTAATATAGTGACATTGTTTAATTTAAAAAATATAGCCTGTTTTTTTTTCTTCTTTCATTTATTGGGCTTCTCGGCATTACTAAATCTAATTGTTTCTTGCATTCGCGCGTAACATAATGAGGATCTGGCCCAATCATTTAAAGTTAATCTAACGCGCTTCAGGAAAGCAGACCATTAGCCGCCATTTGTGTGGGCGTTCCAGTGTACTAAAACATCCTCTGTCTAGGCTATTTAATGAATAAACACTGTATAAACTGTACTACACTTAAACGTCTCTTAAAGATCGCATAAGCATGAATTGCAACTGAACCGGTGGGGGACTAACTTGCAGAAGAATGCTGTCCGTGTGCATTTTGAAGAAGTTATGAGTTTTGTGGATTTGCCTGAGTGGTTTAACACTTGATCTTGAATCTTTCACAAATGACTAATCTGTTTTTGACATATATCATCTATATAAATAAATATATATAGTATAAATACGTATATAGATGATATGTCCTTTAGACAAAATATAGGCTAAAAGAATATCTTTAAAGAAAATGTTGCATGTTTTTATGTTATGTATCATATTATAGAATATTGAGGCTCACACTTGAGGAGGAAAAAAACACTGATTTTATCCAGAGGCCCAAACAGAGCAATAATCTGCAATTTGGTGCAGATATTTTTGTTTTTATGGGCACAAAATATGATGAAATTCTGATAGATTGTAAGATAAATCAGTGTGATTTTTATAATAGCACAACAGACTACTTGCATAAAATGCATATAAATGTAACTTGTCACTCTATATTATATCTTCCAATAATATGTCTTAGTAAGATGATATTTAAATGCTAAGTTTTATGATCAAAGCTTTGTAGTTTTTATTGTGGGGGCAAAACATAATACAGTGCGATACAATGATGATTGAGAGATGTACAAATAAACATTCCTCAAAATCCTGATGTATCATATTTGATACATTTTAACATGATTCTTCTAAAAAATTATGTGGATAATCAAGTTGCTTCAGTCCAGTAAGTGTTCGTCTTGAAACATTACAAACAATATAAAAGTTATTCATATGTTTACTTTATAAAAATCAGTAAATATGTATACAAGTACCACACCCAGAAGGTGGACATTTTTATAATTATACTAAAATGCTTTTTACTTGCAAAAAAGTATGAACTATCCATCAGATGACAGAAGGTATGTAACAGATTGTGTACAACAGGTTTTTCGAGACCTGTTTTATTTAGAGATCTTAGAAATTCATGTATGAAATATGATACAGTAGGCTTTATGTTTAATATCAGCCAGTATTACTTTTGTTTGGATGCACACAGAAAAAATAAATGATACGCTGAACAAGATGTTTACACAATGCATAATTCTGATTGCAGGCATATGCCAACATGTGTTCTGTCCTACATTCCGCTGGGCTAAAATCAACCCAAATAGTTTTTTTTTTTTAAACCCAGTGTTTTTAGAGTGTGGGGATACTCTGAACAAACAGGTTACATCTGTAATACTGGTAGATCTTTTCTCAGACAGATGCTGAGTGCTTGGACCCTCCTTTCAACTGCTATTTGTGCAGGTATTACAACATTTGCTTATTAACCATACTGAACATACACAAGAATAACAGGACAAGTTGAATCATGTGTTAAGTCAATTAAACAGCCTACACATGATGCTAACTGCCAGCAGTTCAAAAGAACTTCTTCTCATCTTGCCATTCTAAAAAAAAAAAATCTCCCCCAGTGTCAGTCTCTGCAATATCTCCGAGGCTTGTATTCCACGGCCACCAGTTGACTCTGGATCTTCCTGAGAGGACACAGAGGTTGGAGTTTGTTAGTGCTGATGAGAGTGCACAATTTACTATCTGGGAACACAAAACCATTTCTTTCCGGCCAAGTAACCCCAGAAAAGGCCACGTGAGCAGCGTCGGTAAGGGCTGGACATTCAGAATCCAACGTGTTACGTTTGACGATGAGGGAAGCTACACCCTGCTCAATCACTTTGGTTCAACCATCAGCAGTTATATAGTGAAGGTCAAGAGTGAGTAGTAATTTAAACCTCCTTCTCAGAATAATATCTCTGTGATTGTCCACATATCCTCACTATCTGTCATTCTCTCTTTTACAGCCAACAGAGAAGTCATTGATCGTATCGCAGGTGAAACTCTGACCATATCTCAGGCAGGACTCAAGCAGAGAGACGCCATACTTCAC